AAGCGTGATGCAACGATCTATTATTTCTGTCATCATGTAACCAATTAAGTGAGAACAAAGATAAAAAAATTTAAGATTTCACGCTCTGTGACAGGGATAAATTAGCTGATGGAAAATATTTTGGGAGATTTTTTAATATGCTCTTAGAAATTCTATGCACTAGATGATTACAAAATGGCACCCCTATTTAACTAAATATTTAACTAAGTTAATGAATTCAATTTGGATAATATGCTCTTGTTAGACTAAGTATATCTATCTAGATTCTGACAAATATAAGTCTGATAAGATAACGTTAGTCAGTTTGAATATTTGAGTACTAACAGAAGACGATGAAAAAGAAGCACCACCTATTTACTTGAACAACGGGGGATTGTTAGGCCATTCTTGGACAAAGTCTTGAAGTGGGAAGCAATGCAATCTAAGGAAGTCCCTCTAGTTGGACAGTTTTTCAATCTTGACATTGAAACTAGTGGAGAGCCTGGTGGTCTTAGAAGGGTCATCTAAGTACATCTTCAACCTCTCACTTTCTGGTAATTTGAAAAACTCTCTTGCTATACTCAACATGTTTTTTATCATTGTCTCTGGAACTCCATGATTTTTCACCTGGTAATATAAAAGTTAGTGCATAATTTAGTTATTTTATATAATAAGACTAATAGTACTCATATACGTACTCAGGTATAAAATAACTAAATTATGCACCAACTGGGCGCCACGTCATCACTTATGCACCAACCTTAACTGGAAACTTAACAGTTTGACTAACGGATGTATGAGACTGTCCCAAAATTTACACTTTAGGTATGACTTTGGGATGAAAAAAAATTGATGTACTAAATGTTGAAAACCACGAAACATGAGGGTAGTAAACAGTCTTTTGCCCATAACTAAATTATGCACCAACATTTTTATTACCAGGTGAAAAATCATGGAGTTCCAGAGACAATAATAAAAAAATATGTGGAGTATAGCAAGAGAGTTTTTCAAATTACCACTAAGTACATCTTCAACCTCTCACTTTCTGGTAATTTGAAAAACTCTCTTACTATACTCAACATGTTTTTTTATCATTGTCTCTGGAACTCCATGATTTTTCACCTAATAATAAAAAGGTTGGTGCATAATTTAGTTATTTTATATCTAAGTACGTATATGAGTACTATTAGTCTTATTATATAAAATAACTAAATTATGCACCAACCTTTTTATTACTAGGTGAAAAATCATGGAGTTCCAAAGACAATGATAAAAAACATGTTGAGTATAGCAAGAGAGTTTTTCAAATTACCAGAAAGTGAGAGGTTGAAGATGTACTCAGTGGTAATTTGAAAAACTCTCTTGCTATACTCACCATGTTTTTTATCATTGTCTCTAGAACTCCATGATTTTTCACCTGGTAATAAAAATGTTGGTGCATAATTTAGTTATGGGCAAAAGACTGTTTACTACCCTCATGTTTCGTGGTTTTCAACATTTAGTACATCAATTTTTTTTCATCCCAAAGTCATACCTAAAGTGTAAATTTTGGGACAGTCTCATACATCCGTTAGTCAAACTGTTAAGTTTCCAGTTAAGTGATGACGTGGCGCCCATGTGGATAATGACTGGGCGCCACATGTCATCCACATGGAAATTAAAAATAAATTATTTATAAAATAAATTTAATTAATTTAAATAATTTATAAATAAAAATAAATAAATAAATAAAAAACCCCTTCTTCCCCAAATCCCACCCGTGCCCACCCTCCCTTCATCCACCCCTTCGTCTTCCCCAAATCCCACCCTCCCAGTTCCCCTTCGTCTTCCCCACCCTCTACCCCTACCCACCAACACCCTTCATTTCCCTGATACCCACACAGCAGAACCCATTTCATCCCCCAATTTTATCAACACACCCACCACCCAATTTTATCAAGCTCCGCCATTTCCGACACCAATCTCACCACGCGCACCTGAACCCTCCGGTGTTTGAGTCCGACGGCGCCAACCTCTCCCTCCCTCATCTTCCCCTGTCGTCTTCTCCCTCGACCTCCCAGCGCAACCCAGAAGAAGAACAAAAAAAAAAAGGAGGAGAAGAAGAAAAAAAAAAAAAAACTGAATCTGCAACCCAGAAGAAGAAAAAAAAAAAAAAAAAAACCGAATCTGCAACCCAGATTTGGAGGAAGAAGAAGAAGTAAAACCCAATCCCCAAAACCCAGAAGAAGAATAAGGAGGAGGAGGAGGAGGAAGAAGAAAAAAAAATGAGGAACCAGTTCGCCCCCCGAGGAAGAAGAAGGAAAAGAAAAAAAAATGATTTTTTTTCAAAAGTTTTTGGCGGGAAAAAAATAATTTAATACTACCAAAATTCCTTATCTAAAAAAAAAAACAAAATCTACGTGGACCCACGTGGCGACCCACTTGGTGCCGAGTCATTGTCCACATGGGCGCCACGTCACAGTTAACGGGAGACTTAACAGTTTGATTAACGGATGTATGAGACTGTCCCAAAATTTACACTTTAGGTATGACTCTAGGACGAAAAAAAAATTGATGTACTAAATGTTGAAAACCACGAAACATGAGGGTAGTAAACAGTCTTTTGCCCTTTAGTTATTTTATATATGAGTACGTATATGAGTACTATTAGTCTTATTATATAAAATAACTAAATTATGCACCAACCTTGTTATTACCAGGTGAAAAATCATGGAATTCCAGAGACAATGATAAAAAAACATGTTGAGTATAGCAAGAGAGTTTTTCAAATTACCATTGAGTACATCTTCAACCTCTCACTTTCTGGTAATTTGAAAAACTCTCTTGCTATACTCAACATGTTTTTTTATCATTGTCTCTGGAATTCCATGATTTTTCACCTGGTAATAAAAAGGTTGGTGCATAATTTAGTTATTTTATATAATAAGACTAATAGTACTCATATACGTAGTCAAATATAAAAAAACTAAATTATGCACCAACCTTTTTATTACCAGGTGAAAAATCATGGAGTTCCAGAGACAATGATAAAAAACATGTTGAGTATAGCAAGAGAGTTTTTCAAATTACCAGAAAGTGAGAGGTTGAAGATGTACTCAATGGTAATTTGAAAAACTCTCTTGCTATACTTAACATGTTTTTTATCATTGTCTCTGGAACTTCATGATTTTTCACCTGGTAATAAAAAGGTTGATGCATAATTTAGTTATTTTATATTTGACTACGTATATGAGTACTATTAGTCTTATTATATAAAATAACTAAATTATGCACCAACCTTTTTATTACCAGGTGAAAAATCATGGAGTTCCAGAGATAATGATAAAAAACATGTTGAGTATAGCAAGAGAGTTTTTCAAATTACCAATGAGTACATCTTCAACCTCTCACTTTCTGGTAATTTGAAAAACTCTCTTGCTATACTCAACATGTTTTTTATCATTGTCTCTAGAACTCCATGATTTTTCACTTGGTAATAAAAATGTTGATGCATAATTTAGTTATTTTATATAATAAGACTAATAGTACTCGTATACGTACTCAAATATAAAATAACTAAATTATGCACCAACTTTTTTATTACTGGGTGAAAAATCATGGAGTTCTAGAGATAATGATAAGAAACATGTTGAGTATAGCGAAAGAGTTTTTCAAACTGAAAATATGACTTTAGCCCCTGAAACTCAAGTTTCTTTACATAAAACCCGACATAGTCTTTTTATCTGAATAAAACCCAATGACTAGGCTCCACATAAGCAAATTCATTAATTTTGCTTGCCTTTACACATTTTACATTTTGCAGATGCCTAAAATACCCCTAATTACCGTTTTTAATGTAAACATTTAATTCTATGCAAATTTGAAAAAGGAGAGATTAATGGAAAAAAATGCATTAATGTTTAAAAATAATAATATGTCATAACAAATTGTATGTTAAGGAAAAAAAGAACTAATAATGTTATACTTTCCTTAAGATTTCGTAATTGTTTTTCAAATTTGCATAAAATTAGACAATTTTAATTTAATCTTGTCATTTTCTTACCAAATGAAAATATGAAAGAGCACTATAAAATAATTTAGCTATATTTAAAAAATATAGGTAAATTATTTGGACATGTGTATTAGTAATAAATTTGCCCTGTATATGTAATGATACATGTAAAATAATTTACTTATAAAATAAAAAAATGTTATTTGATTTCAAAAAAATAAATTTATCTATTATAATTATATATAAATATAGGTAAATTATTGCACACATATATATTAGTAGTAAAATGTGCCCAATATATATAATAATGCATGAAAATAATTCACCTACAAATAAAGGAAATTTGATTAAAAAATAATATATCTACTACTTTTTGTTTATAAATTTCAATTTCCTTTTTTTATATTACAAACATAATGTACCTACAATATAATTTACCTATTGTTTAATCTTATAAGAAAATAATGTATCTACTGTTTTATTTTTTATTTATTTTTTGTCGAATATCTACTGTTTTATTTTAGTAGAGATAATTTGTCTTGGTTTAATTCTTACGAAATAATTTAGGCACTGTTTAACTTTACCAAAATAATGGAACTACTATTTTAATTTACCTACAAAATAAATGCTATTTGATTCAAAATTAATTTACTTATATTTTACATACAAATATAGATAAATTATTTTTAACAAGCATATATGATAACAAACAAAAAATGCCTAACGTATGTAATAATCTAGGTAAAATAATTTACCTACAACATAAAAGAGTATTAATTGGTTCTTTATTGTTTTTTATCCAACAATATTATTTGATGCAAAATAACTGATTGTACAAGGATTTTTTTTTTCATATGAAAAATGTGCCCATAATTGTTTATGAACATGGTTAAATTAATATATATATATATATATATATATATATATATATTCCTAATATTTACCATACAAGAAAGGTGAAATTTTCCATATGGGGTTAATTACTAATCATAATTAGGGTAAGTAATAATATTTATTGACATAATTAGGGTTTTGTGGCATAAGTTGTAAATATGTGATAATAATTGGTTACATATTTGTCTACATGGTACTCTATTTGAAATTTGGGTTTTATTTGGATATTTAATATTAGGTGGGTTTTTGTTTGGAAAATAAGAGTTTCAAGGGCCATTTTCTAAAGAACCCTTTTTCAAATTACCACTGAGTACATCTTCAACCTCTCACTTTCTGGTAATTTGAAAAACTCTCTTGCTATACTCAATATGTTTTTTATCATTGTCTCTGGAACTCCATGATTTTTCACCTGGTAATAAAAAGGTTGATGCATAATTTAGTTATTTTATATAATAAGACTAATAGTACTCATATACGTACTTAGACTAAACATGTAATTAAGAATAAGGTGGTGGGATATATATGCAAGGAAAAACAAAGGCACTAAGCAACAGTTATGCAAAAGAATAAAAATAATACTGTGTCGAAATCATTCCCCAAGCATATACATATATGTGTGTGTGTTAATTATTACTTGGAAGAAACCATCAGTTTGGCATGCTAGACCAATCTGTTTGATAATATCAGAGTACTAGGGGCCATGGAGGTCCTTGAGATCAATGAGAGTAATGGAGGAGGCATCTGATGTCTGAACATCAGTGAGATTTGGACGGTCGGAGAAGGGTCTGATGTAGTTTGAAGGGACATGGTTCACACCAGACATGAGGTCTGTGAGCAGTAGCTTTGTTGTGGAAGCCATTTTGCTTACGACTGAAGAGAAAAGTTGCAAAACTAAGGAAACTTGCAGGTTTAGTGAACGGGGCTTTGGATCCCTATCCCTTTTTATAGAATATGAGGAAGCACTATTATATAGAAAATGTTTTTTTTCCCCAAAATTGTCACATTAGTTTAAGAACTATATATATGCCTTGAAGGGTAATTGCTAGAGAGGTTAAATTTCTAAGTTAAATTTTGTAATGCCTTGAATTATTATTTTAGTCTTGATTAACGTACTTATTTTTTATTTATGATATATCATTTGGTTTGTAAATTTAATTATAAATTTTGATCTTCCTAATATTATCCGTGCTTTGATTCGTGAAAAGTTTAGAAAAAAAAAAATAAAATACACATAAAATTATAGAAGTCAAAGTCAAATTATTACTTGTACAATTATAAAGCTCCGCTGAGCAATTGTTTAGCTTGTGTAACATGATTTAGCTCATCAGCTCTTTAATCTTTATCGTGCTGGAACAAAAAATAAAACAAAAAATTTCGCATCAATCCTGCCTTTTCATGTGAGCTCACTTTCTGCTGCTGGTATAGTACACGCGATAGTTTAAAACGTGCCTCTCACGTTCAACACTACAAAATTCCATACAGAATTTATTGTGTGTTGTACATTTGAGTGTAACTTTTTCTTGTATCTCTCATTCACGTATTTTGTATATATTAAATTGGCGAAAATAAATTATTTTTTTATTTAGTTGAAGTATAGTTTATTTTCTCTCTTATTATGTAATATATCTTTATATCTAAGCTATCATAAGCATATGTTCTTTCAGTATAGAGTACATTTGTTTCTTATATCTCTCTCTTCACATAACGTAAAAAATGTGTCTATCTCGTCTATTCTAACCATTTGCCCTTTCTCTATAAAGATATGGCAATGCAAAGGAAACCATTAGTTATACGGATGTAAACTGTACGTGTCTCTCCGTTCCGCGAGTTGAGTTTTAGATGTTCAGCCCCAAAAAGAGTTGGGTTTGGTTGTTCTAGTTGTCAGGTCGGCATGCACCAACTGTTGCTGACGCATGTGATGGAGATCCACCACCTTCTCACTATGGAGTACAGACAGATTTATGAGAGGTAGGCAAATAACATCTTTCTGCTATGTCATTCACTAATGCAATTTATTTGCTTAAAGGAATATTCAATTTAAGATTTTTTAGTTAAAATAATTCTTGAGATTTGAATAACATATAACTTTAATCACTGAGATTTAAAATTAATAGAAGTGATCCATGAGATTGTCCACCATCCATTATTTTGGTAATTTCATTAAAAAAACTCCATCAAGTTAAGGGTATAACACATAACTTTGGTCCCGAAAATTTACATAACACATAATATTGGTCCCTGATATTTGCATAACACATAACTTTGGTCCCTAAGATTATCCACCATCCAACATTTTGGTCATTCCATTAAAAAGCTTAGGGACAACTTAACAGAGTTTTTTAATGGAATGACCAAAATAATGGATAGTGGACAATCTCAATGACCACTTTTATTGATTTTATATCTCAGAAATCAAAGTTATATGTTATGAAAATCTCAAAGATCAATTTGGCTAAAAAACCTCAATTTAATAGAAGAGAAATGTGAAGGAGATTTTTATTAATTCTCTGTACCTCACAGTTTAACGTCATTTCTCGTGTTAATATTGTAAATATTGTGTCAAAAACACAAAGCATCGAAAAATTAATAAATAATCTTACTTTGAGAGAGTCTTCTTAGCATTTCTCATAAATAAATAAAATTACTTTCGAAACAGTAAGGAAATAGAAGGATGAAATACTTTTTTAATTGAAATAGTACTAACCTTTTAATTTTTAAAAGGTTAGTACTATTATGATTATATATATATACACACACGAGCGCCTTTTATGTAAATGAATTTTCATTTAAAAAAAAAATGATGTTTAGATGTAGGGTTCACACCACATCAAACTTTAACTATCTAAAATTTTTATTTTATAAGTCTCAATTCATAGATTATCCTTATAAAAATTCAATTCAATCTGAACTCATTTGCCTATTTAATTATCAAGATAAAATTTCATTGTTTCTTATATAACAAAGTATTCATTAATTTATTTGAACTCAATTAGATGTCTTAAACATTTCCGATTTGGCTATAATATTTTGTAAGGATGATCTATGAGGTGCAACTTAACAAATAGACGGTTCCAATCGTTAAAATTCGACGTGATGTGGACCTTACAACTAATCCTCATTTTTATAAAAAAAAATGAGAATCCCTTCTTTTAAATGTTTCATATATATAAATATAACAACATAATTTCTTTTGAATCAGATGTCATTTGACAGTTTTGTTTTGATATGAGGAAACATACGGATGAAAATATTGAATTCAATTTACATAGTTTTGTTTTTTTATTTTGAAAGCTTAAGAAAAAGTTGAATAAAAATAGACTATGTTGTTGCAATCCTATTAGATTAGGAATGTGATTTTCTAAATTTTAGTAGATATGGGAATGTATCTTATATTCCTATTAGGAGTAGATTACCTATTAAATGTTGTAATCCTAAAGGGAAAGGTTTTTACCTATCATACTACTATAAATAAAGGCACAATGGGGTGTAATAGAACACACCCACAATTACACATCTCTCTTCTTCGCTATCTATGCCGCACCCCTCTCTCTTTAGCCTCCTTAATTATTCAGTAAATTATACCTAGAACACGTTATCAGCACGCTATTGACGCTGTGCTACCAAGAGAATTTATTCTTTAATCTGAGGAGTATTACGTTTTAATCATTCTTTTTATAATTAATTTATTATTTTATTGAATTGATCTACATGATATTGATTCAATTTAATTTTTTTTTGTGTTGAACGTGATACAACGCATTGGAAATGCTATTTCGGCTTTCGAGAAGGATTTTCTACAAATTCAAAGGCTTTTATTGTTTTCTGCCCATCAGGTACGCTTAAAATAAAGTAAGATATTTGAATCGACCATGAAGCATGAAAATATTCCTCATGATGCATGAACCCCCTATGTTTATATTTTCCTTCCGATATATATATATATATATATATATATATATATATATTGTATATGTTCATATATTTGTTTCTTGCACTACGCAATTGTATTTGCTATGTGGAATTTGTGAGTCAAATTATATAAAATAAATTAGAAGAAATTTAGGGTTTTCAAACCCTAATTCTGTCGAAAAAATATATGGGCACTTGCAGCACCACCACCACAGACACCTTGGACCCCTCACAGTAGCAGCCCTAGGGCTTTGCTGCGCTAATCCAGACCATTAGACCTTTCGGCCTATCTCTGTTTATAGGACATGCAGTCCCTAAGCCCAAAACCAGCAGATTATGGCCCATTATCCCGTGTCCCTTGGCCCGTGAACTCACTAGGCTTCGCCCGAATCTCGACCTACTTGCCAGCAGCTTTGGCTGCTGGGCTTAAGTTGCCTCAGACCTAACCCGCAGGCCAACATTTTGTTAGGCCTGATCCGTGCCCCTCCTTTAGCCCAAAGAGCCAGCAGCTACTGCTGCTGGGCTCTATGTTCTTGGCCCATGGCCTGAAGACCATTTTGTGGGCTGCTTTTATAGCCATACCCAACCCGAGCCCCTCATTTGGCTCACGGCACCGAGCCTTATCTTTTAGGCTATGGTATTTTCGACCCAACGCTATTATTTAGCATTTTAAATCATTTTAACCCAAATGTTATTATTAATTTTGCTTCTACGATCGACCCAGAATGGTCCCGATCTATTGAATTAATTAAAAGTGACCTACAGTCCATTAATCTGATAATGAATCCAAAATTATTGACCCGAAGATCATTTTTGGACATTAACAATTCAATAGTATATTTTTATACTTTGAACCGTTGACATACTTTCGTATTCCCGAAGCACTCACACTTGAGTTCCTGAAACAACCCAAATCCACTACACTTAGTTGTATATTGCATTATGTGTTCTTGCAGGAACCTCTCTTTTATGAACTAAACGTTCATAAACTAAATTGAACCTGTAGTGTTAAATTTAGTGTCTTTGAAACCTGAAGATTTCATAACACAATATACCCATGAAAACCATGTCTTATAACTCGAATGTTCTAACTTTGATGCTTATGGATGATTCATTCCCATAACACCAATCACAATCTTGTTCCCTCCAAATTTAATGGATTGTCGAACCGTCACAAGTTTGATTTCCCTAATTTGGATGTTTCTAATAGAAACTACTTTATGTGGGGTACAAGACATGAATCTCCACTTGATTATCAAGAAGCTGAGAAGCCATTGAAGTCAACAATAGCATGGAAGAGCTAAATAAGCCTCCACCATGATCTTCATTCGAAGACTTATGCTCAAAGCATTACAAATGGAAATACCTCTTGATCGAGGATTCCATGGCTCTTTAGCTCGCTTCTACGGACTGTCTAATCATGAAAGACATTGCCTAAAGCATACCATGATTAGGTCCATGAATGAGTACAATTCTGAAGTTTAAAATCCGATCGAATTTTGACTGGAGAATACTTTTCTCATTTTTCCTTGTTTCTAAATCGCCCCTAAAGTAGCAGTGTAGATAGCGGAAGTTTACCAAATTCTCGAATCTAATTACTACCATAAACGTGAGAGAAAGGTATGGACCCAGTTCGGCTGGAGTCTACCGAATAGCTCGACCCAGTTCGATCAAAGCCTACCAAATGGTGATACACTGCTTTGGCAGGGATACACCGAATGGAATATTCTCTCACAATCCAATTTTGAGTTTGTTTTTACAACATATGGTAGAATCAGGGCCTGCCAAGGTGTGCATCATGCCCGAAGCATGATCCTTGGTACCTAAGACCTAAAACTTCAAGAATAAGGGATAGTATTCCTAAAGCCTTAACCCTGCAGAATCTATTTCCGTCTCGATGAAATAGATCATTGGTTATGTACCTATTTGTGCCCCTACCAATGTTGTTGAGGAGTACCATTTTAGTAGTCAATATGTGAGACTAACTTTGCTTCACCAAACACCATTGGAAGAATAAAATTTTGACATGGATGGCC